AGAGAGAGAGAGAGAGAGAGAGAGAGAGAGAGAGAGAGAGAGAGAGAGAGACAGAGTGCTAAACAGCACGCATTCATTTAGGATGCAACGCGCTAATGTACCGTTAAAAGGAGCTCAAGATTTAATGCCTGCTAAATACCACATGTGCTTGTGACCAGGGAAGGAATCAAGTCGCGCCGAGCGAGAAGTGAGCGAGCGAGTACACAGTGCACATACATCCACGAACACGGTTAATGCACACGTTCATTGATATGCACATGGTTTAATTAAATTAGGTGCTGCCTCCTAAGACGAGAGGAATGCATGCACTCAAGACGCGTGGCAATCATCCAGTCTTACTCGGCTCAGTGCAGATGCTTGACTAACTATTAGCAACGACATCTAACCCGTGGTATGGATCGTACGACACACGAGCGAGGAGAAGGCTGAGAAATTGTGCTCGTGAAAAGCCTGTACGCACTGTGCGTCAGAAATATCACAGCTACACGTTATACACAAGAGACCACGTCGAGCATACAACGTTTATATATATATAATTATATAATACGTTTATATAGGTGCGATACAGAGGGAATGTGGTGCAAAGGCCCAGGTTACGATGAACATATTCTCAGTCACAAAAAGACATCCGATCTTTATAGAGAACTGACAACGAATTATGGTCTATACGACAAACACGGTGGTTATATTACGTCACATCACTGACACGTAGTCTTCAGCTTATACAAACAACTGAAGGATTTATAGAAAGAAGCATAAACATAACGTAAAGCAGTAGCAACAACAAGCGAAAGGGTAAAACTATATATATAAATGTATATATACATGGCAACAGAACGATAAAACAGATTCCGTTCTTACTCGAGTGTGAGCCATGATAGACTAAATGAGAGAGCAGCATGAAAAAAAGTACATGTACTATTACGCTTGAGAAAACATTAGAATTTAAGGAGCCCATATATCCCATACATCAGTACAACTAATATATAATGATACTGTGCCATCACATACTTTTCGTGCGTGTGCGTGCGTGCGTGCGTGCGCTCGTGCGTGTGTGTGTGTGTGCGTGTGCGTGCATGCGTGTAATATTACCACGTTACTGTGCGCGATATTGCTACCAAGTTGTGTATGACATTGCCACGTTGTTGTGAGTTATATTGTCATATTAGACTTTAGTGTATATGGCATTGACATATTATTGCGTGTGATATTGCCAGGTTGTTGTGTGTGATATTGCCATGCTGTTGTTTGTGATACTGCCATGTTGTTGTGTGTGATATTGCCATGCTGTTGTATGATATTGCCATAGTAAATGTAGTGTATGATATTGCCATAGTAAACGTAGTTTGTAATATTGTCATGGTAAATGTAGTGTGTGATATTGTCATGGTAAATGTAGTGTATGATATTGTCATGGTAAATGTTGTGTGTGATATTGCCATGGTAAATGTAGTGTGTGATATTGTCATAGTAAATGTAGTGTGTGATATTGTCATGGTAAATGTAGTGTATGATATTGTCATAGTAAATGTAGTGTGTGATATTGTCATGGTAAATGTAGTGTATGATATTGTCATGCCGTTGTGAGTGACATTGCCACGTTGTTGTATGTGATATTGCAATGTTGTTGTATGTGATATTGCAATGTTGTTGTATGTGATATTGCAATGTTGTTGTGTGTGATATTGCGACGTTGTAGTGAGCGACATTGCCGTATTATTGTGTATAATATCACCATGGAATGATAAAATCTGTGTTGTTATTGTTTGTTTTGATGATATTCAGGTGCAGTAGTGATAGTTGGGCCGACTAAAACAAAAACTGCATTCTAACCTAAAAGCCGATGTTAAAACACACAATCGCAAAATTAAGTGATACAGAGATTAAATTAACACCGCCACACGTTGTAAAGTTTAGCAGCATCCCATCGAGGTATGCAAACATAGGAACAGTAAATATATATAAAAATCTAAACCAGCTGATATGACCATTGCACGAACACTCGAGAAAGTAAAAAAATCATAAGAGATCGCGATCATCAAATGTAAACATAGCCACTATAGGTGGAAACCATGACGAAGAAGAAAAATCAAGAAGAAGCAAGAAGCGCACGCATCCCTCGAAAAAAAAGTTGTTGCGTTCGTCCAAAGACTACATTATGAAGGAAGATCGACACCGCATCTGGTAATTCCATACTCGCATGACGCATGACGCATGATTCTACAGAAGTTACGTGTAACCATGAGAAACACAGCAGCTGACAACTGAGCCGCCGCCGCCGCCGCCGCCGCCGCCGCCGCCGCGCGAGTATGTCGGTCACCTGAGACTCCTGCAATCATGTCTCATCTGAGATGCCGTCGGGCGACCGCGCGACTGACCTGAGACTGCACGACTCACCAGAGACCATGTGACCCACCTGAGACTCCGTGAGGGGGGTTGACCGCACAACTCACCTGAGCCCGAGTGACTCACCCGAATCTCCATGAGGGGGCGTGTGACCGTACGACTCACATGAGACTGCACGACTCACCTGAGACCGCACGACTCACCTGAGACTGCACGACTCACCTGAGACCGCACGACTCACCAGAGACCATGGGACCCACCTGAGACTCCGTGAGGAAATGACCGCACGACTCACCTGAGACCGAGTGACTCACCCGAATCTCCATGAGGGGGCGTGTGACCGTACGACTCACCTGAGACTGCGAGAGCGAGGTCTCATCAGCGGAGACTTGGGGGCCGCCTCCTCATCGATGCCTGGGTTGCTCTCGTTGCTGCTGAAGTGTCGCGT